GGTGGGGGTGCAGGAACAGGCGGGCAAGCCAGTGGGGAGGGTGGGATGCTGCTGGTAGACTTGCGGCGGCCAGCCTTGGGGCGGGGAGGCCCAAGCTTGGCGGCCAGGCCATGCAAGGAGCTGGGGCGGGTGTGGCCAGTAGTAGCTGGAGAGGCAGGGCTGCTGGAGCTCGGAGATGCACTGGGTGGAGATGCGGTGTCTGTGGATGACAGGCAAAGGTCAGGGCCATGGGCCCCAAGTCCCTAGCTTTGAGGTGGGACCCTGGGACTGGCTGCACCTGCCAAAGCCCACTTTGTTCTATGTGGCCACCTATCATGCTTGCTTTTCCTGCCTTTTGTTGTTTGCATAGGCTGTTCCCTTGGCTTAGATCTGGTGAACTCCTATTCAGCTATCAAAGCCTTAGCTCTTTTTTATTTGATTTTTTTTTTTTTTTTTTTAGAGAGAAAGAAACATTGATTCGCTGTTCCACTTATTTATGCATTCATTAGTTGATTCTTGTATGTGTCCTGACAGGGGATGGAACCTGCAACGTTGGCTCATCGCAACAATATACTCTAAACAACTGAGCTACCCAGCCAGGGCCTCAAATAATATCTTTAATGTAGTGTATAATAGCTTCCTACTTGAAGGAATCTCACCATATATTAGTTTCCTGTTGCTTCTGTACAAACTAACACAAATTTAGTGGCTTAAATGCCATACATCTATTCTCATACAGTTCTGGAGCTCAGAAGTCTCACATGAGTCTTACTGGGCTAAAATCAAAGGTAGGCAGGGTTGTGTCACTTCTGCCTTCTGGAGGCTCTAGGGGAGAATGGGTTTTCTTTCCTTTTCTAGCTTCTAGAGGCCACCCACACTCCTTGGCTCATGGTCCCTTCCTCCATCTTCAATGAGAGCAAGATCAGACTGAGTCCTTCTCACATCACATCACTGTGACCTTCTCTTCTGCCTCCCTCTTTCACTTAGAAGGATCCTTGTGATTATACTGGGACCATCTAGGTAATTCAAGCTAATCTCCCTCTTTTAAGGACAGGTGATTAGCAATCTTATTTCCATCAGCAATCTTAATTACTCTCTGCCATATAACAGCATATTCACAGGTTCTGGGGATTAGGGCATGGGTATCTTTGGGAGGCCATTATTCTGCCTACTGCACATGATAAATATTTTTACAAAGTAGAAACATTTTAATGTAAAGTGGATAATTCTCCTTTGGTTTGTCATATACATTTTATCTGTTGATTAAAGTAGGACATACCTGAACTATCTGCCACCGGATGGTTTCATCATCTACCTAACCATTCATTGTTTCCCACTCAGCAAAGTGCAACCTTCTCCTAGCCCCTTCCTTTCACCAAGAAGATCTTCTGTTTATCGCCTAATGTAGTTTCTCAGCCTCTCCACCCACCCACCCATGATGTGGACACTTTGTGTGCAATGCATAGTGCCATTCTTCAGTGCACTTGGGCTACATGCAGCAGGTGATAAGGGTTAGGTATAATAAGATGTGTGCTTTGTGTGTGCAAGACAAGAATGTGTGTGGGGATATGCATGTACATCCTTAACGATTCTATACATTTCACATTCACTCTGTCTTTTTCATTACCACTGCTGTCCCTCCAGCTCAGGCCCTGCCTTTATCGCTTCACTTCTGCACTAGCACCACAATCCCCTTCTTGCCTCCCTGGTTTCACATTAGCTTTGCTCCCATCCATCAGGCAAACTGGTCCAAATCAGCTTTCATTCTATCATTCCTCTGCTCCAGGGCCTACAGTGGATTCTCACTATTCTATCATATTGAATCTACATTTCTCAGCCTGGCCTTCAAAGCTTATAACTGGCTTATTCTGCCCACCCCCAATCTCTCCAATCTTTTTTCTCATTATTCTCCTCTTCAGCCATGCTTATCGACCTGCACATGTCTTGCTTATTTCCGTGCCTGCTCTCTGCCTGTGAATACATCCCACTTCTCTCTGCTAATCCATGCCTATTACTTCAAGATCCAGCTTAAAACACTTTTGTGGGAAGCCAGTTCTTGTAACCCCTTCCCGTTCCTTTGTTCCATGCTACTATTTTCTACAAAATTTACTTAATTTTAACTTTATTGATGTTTTGCTTTTTCAAAAAATACCAGGTTTCATTTGTTGAGGAATTATAATGTGTCAGGCAGTGTTCTAAGACATTTTACATGAATTTTCTCATTTACTCCTGAATGACAACCTTTTGAGATAGGCACTCCATTTTGCAGTTGAGGAAATCAGTGCTCGTAGAGGTTAAGATACTTTTTCAAGTTTACACAGCTAGGAAGTGGTGCAGCTGGGATCTGAACCTGGTCTGTCTGATTCCAGAGCTCTATAGAAGTTCTGATATTGTTTTATTAAAGTAGGTCATGTGTCTTTGTGAGTCTAGGTCTCCCCAATAAGAGTGTAGCCCCTCCAGGGCAGCATTCATGCCCACGACTGTGGCTGGATCTCTCCTATAAATGAGACTAGTGCTTTTTGCCTGGGCAATATCCCACTGACCCTGCTTGGCCTGGTTCCTCCAGAGCTCTAGACTCAGAGGTGAGAGATTCTCAAACTTGGCTATACTACAGAATCACCCAGGGAACTGAAAAATAAATAAATCTTGATGCCCAGGCTGCATCCCAATCAATTATACCATGATCTCTGGGAGTAGGATGCAGGCATCTGTACTTTTTTAATTCTCACCCAAGGATATTTTTTCCATTTCTTTTCAGAGAGAGTGGAAAGGAGGGAGGAAGGGGGAAGGAGAGGGGGAGAGAGAAACATTGATGTGAGACAAACACTTCGATTGGTTGCCTCCCTCATGTGCTCAGGCTGGGGCTGGGGATCGAGGCTGCAACCAAGGTACTTGCCCTTGGCTGGAATTGAACCCAAGACCCTTCAGTCTGCGGGCTGATGCTCTAACCACTGAGCCAAAACAGCTAGGGCCAGGCATCTGTATTTTTTGTAAAGTTCTCAAAGAAATTCTATTGTGCAGCCAATGTTGAAAATCACTCGTAAAGCAAAGAAGATTCAGTTGGAAAATTGTTTCTATGTTTTAAACCCTTTTTATTTCTCAGAAAGCCACATCTCTCTTGCATGCCTTGTCTTTCCTCCCCCTTCCCTACCTACTCATTTGGTTTTTTACTCAACAACATCTGAGGAGGACAGCAATCATTGGTTGAGGAAGTGGCCAATTAAATATTAATATTTATATTAAGCCCATTAAATATTAGCTCCAGGCAGTTCCTAAATCAATGGCATTCCAGTGAATCGCAGGTGGAAAATTAACATATTAATATATGTTAATTAATATATGTTAATATTAACATATTAACATATTTCTGGGTTTCACAAAGACAAAAATAATTTGCTGTTTTAGAAACGGCAAACATTCCACCTCTTAATCTGCTAACAATGCCTTCTGGGAAATCCTTTAAGAAAGAAAAGCTGCCCCTTCTTTAATAACTTTCACCAGCTGGCAGGCAGGCCTGCCCCCACCTACAATGGTCACTGGGTGTTGAAACAAGAGAGCCATGAAGGGAGTGGCTGACCAAGGCTACCTGACTCTGCACTGGCAACAGCTGTTTGATAGTCTGAATGAGCTCATCTATGAGAAAAGTTCTAATGTTCTGGAAGAGGTGGACTCTGGGAGGTGAAATGGGGACCAGGCCATACCTGTTCACTGTCTCCCCAGGTCCCCTTAGTTCTGTCTACATACTCAGACATCCCTTCCTTTATGATTCCAAGTGTGTGTGTCTATGGCAGGGCTCCTTAACTGGTGTGGATGTATACCTTCAGCCTTTGGGACAGCCAGACAGGGCCTGGGGTGGCCAGAATCTCTGGGATCCATTTACCCCAATATTCCACATAAATGTTATTCCCTATGTGTGCTATGACACAGGATTGGAAAGTGATGGCCTGGGGATAGCTCCAAGTTCTCCCATTCCCCTGCTCTCTGCTACAGACCTCTTACAGGTTGATTGGACACTCCCTAGCTTTCCCTAACACTGGCTGACCTTAATATGTGGTCACGATAGCATGTCCCAGGGGCTCTATCTATGGAGCATGTCTGCACCTTTCCCCACCCTCTGCCCCAAGAATGCTTTTCTTGCCTCTCTCTTTCTCCTAAGCTCCAAAGGCCCTTCTTTTGCCTCTGTAACTTGTTTCCAGAGCCCATTTCTTCTACAGCTCACTTCTACTTCTGTGACTTTCTAAATAAACTTCCTTTTATAAAAAACAGTATGTCCCACAGGGTTGAGGAGCGCAAAAAAGATGAGCCCAAGTGGACTTAGGATCTGAGGCACTTTAGAATAACTGAACTTCACCTCACAGGCTCAAACTCTCTTTCTCAAGGTTACTTCTTCCTGTGTTCTCAAGGCCTGTCCCAGGGAAAAAGTAGCCCCCAAAGCCGAACTTACCTTGGCATCCATGATACTGGTCTCCACTCGAGCCACGCCCTGGTTCTCCCGGAACAGCTGGATCTTGCTGATCTTGCTGAACTCAGACAGCACAGTGGTGAGGTTGGTTTTGAGGTCAATAACATGGCTGATGCCATGACGGGGTCCCACCAGGAGAGTGGTGGCTGACTGCTTCTCGTCCTGGTGCCCAAGTGTGGTGGGCAGCATTCACAGAAAGAAAGGCAGAGGAGGCGGGGAGAGGAGACAGGAGGAGGAAATAGAAAACAAGCATCGGGCCAGTTCTGCTGGGAAGTCTGGAAATATCTGGGGCTCAGTGCCAGGGCAGGAAGACAACATTGAGGGAAAAATGGTCTGGGATGCCCCTGTTCTCAGGGAAGGGCTCCAGATCATTGGCCCAAATGGACACCTTAGGCTCAACAGCAGGTTGAGCGAAGTGGGCCACAGGAAGGTTGGTTCTAGCAAAATCATGAAGTAGGTGAGGTTTTTCCTGGTGCCTTTACAGCACCCTCTTCATATCAAGTCTCACAGACTTTCCATTTGTTGTTGCAGGCCACTCAACGCATCTACCCAGTACTCTGCTTGAACTGGTAGCATCCTGTGTTTGGTTTTTAATCTCCCCACCCAACCCCAACCAACAGCCACTCAAACTTTCACTTCTCACTGGCTGCCAAAAGCTAAAAAGACAAGGAAGTAACCCTAGTCTAAGGTGTTAAGGGTTGACTGGGTGCTTAATTGTGTGTGTGTGGGGGGGTTATCTCTCTCCGTAAGAAGATATTTGTTCTTTAATAGGCACTACAGTAGTCTTAACCTAAAGGAATAGCCTATAAGAACTTCAACAGTGGCAGGGGTGTGTGGGGTAGAGAGGAGGAAGGGGGCAGTGGGTTTTCAGTGATCTTCAAATCCCAGCATGTAAATGGCTACGTCTGTGCCTGATGGACTGAATTCCCTTAAGTGGTCTTGACAGGCTCCTTGGTGCCATCAAGCCTGAGCCCTCTGCAGGTCCATTCTCTGGTATTAGCACCACCCCGAGAAACCTCTTACACTTGCTGTAGATGTTTTGATAAGTGGCTTTCCATTGGTGTGCCCCACAAGCATGACAGTGTGTTCCCCAGAGCACAACAAGCACCTGGATCCTGTCAGCAAGATGATTTGAATTTCCTTTCACCATAGCTCACTAGGGTAAACTAGCCTGGGGCACAATCTTTGGGGGACCAGTAGTTCCTCCCCCTCCTGAGAAGGGTGTTGCTACAGTGGAGGCCCTGAGTAGGCTGGGAAAAGCATGCTGATTCAGGAAGCCTTGGGTGGGGGGCTGTGGGGTTATAAGGAAGAGCAATGAAACAGAGCAGGGGTCAGCAAACTGGCCCACTGGCAAATCTGACCCACCACCAGTTTTTATACGGCCCATGAACTAAGAATGGTTTTTACATTTTTAAATGGTTGGGAAAAGTTCAAAAGAACCATATTTTGTGACATGTGAAAATTACATGAAATTTAAATTTCAGTGTCCATAAACAGAGATATTGGAACACAGCCACACTTATTTTTTTATGCATTGTCTATGGCTGCTTTCATGCTACAATGGCAGAGTTGAGCATTTGTGACATGTGCATAGCCTGACTGCAAAGCCTGAAATATTTACTATGGAAGTAGTCTGCCAACCTCTGAAAGTGAGGAAAGGGGACACAAAAGGGCCATGGAGGGATACAGAAAACAAATATTGCCTCTTACTTTACCATTTTACCAGAGGTGGGATCAGAGCACCATGGGAGAGGAGAGGGAGAAGAAGGAGGAAGAGGAGGGAAGACCTTTAGAAATATTTGCTGAGACATAATGACATCCTAAAGCTCTAACGGAATCCCTCCTGCCCTCCACCCAAGGACAGTGCCCACAGAAGGCTCCCTCCCACCCAGCCCTGCTACCCTCACTGACCAGGCCTACAGTGTTGAACAAAACGCCGGTGAAGGTTGGAAGTTCATTCAGAATTCGAAGATACTGGAGCTTTGCCTGAATTGTGGAGCCCTGTGGAAACAAACCACCCAGAAATATGAGAAACTTGAGACACAAAAGCAAACCTGTGTTCTCAGGAAAGAGTGTCAACATCTTAAGACAGGAACAAGTCAGCAAGACACACTGCAGGAGTGTGAGGAGATCTTCAGAGAAACTGCAGAAAGGTTCCCATTCAGACAGGTCTTGACTCTAGCATCCCCTCTCCCTTCCTAAACACTCTTTTTCCTCCTAATCTTAATACATTAAGAATCCAGGTTATTCATTTTGTTCTTGGGTTAATTCCAACACCTTTCCCTAACTGTAAGACCCCCACCTCATCTATACCTCTCTCATGAGATCTCCTATAACCACTAGGTACTGGCCGTCCCCAACTGGGGGTTCCTTTAAATACCTTTGATCCTGAGCACACATACGTCCCAAACCTGTTCTTCTTCTGACATTTCCTCATACAAAAGTCTCTAATAGTGATGGCAGCATCCCCTGGGGATTCTACTTAGAAACCTGGGAGTCACATTGGACTCCTCCCTCATCCTCTTACCTGAGAAGGCCACCAGTCATGAAGTCATCTCAATTCTATCATCTGTCTATCCACCCCTCTTCTCTAGCCCCATGGTCATTGCCTTGATGTCCCCCACCTGTGTCAGAGTGGCAGCCAGGTTACCTTCAGTACTGACACTCCTTTCCCTCAGCCCCTCCACACTGCTTATAGGGAATATCCTAAAACATAAGATTGATCACATTAGCTACCTGTTTAAACCCTTCAATGGCTCTTGGCTGCCTACAGGGTGAAGTATAACCTCTTTCTTCCACGAATTGGCTCCTGCCAACCTCTCCAGCCTCCTCTCTTGCCCCCACTCTCCTCCCACCCAGGCATGTTCTTTGAACTCTGTCCTGGCTTATGCTGAATTATTTGCATTTCTTTCCATGTACCACGTTCTTTCATGTCCAGAAGGCTTTGTACAGACAGATCTCCCTGCCTGGGAAAGTTTTCCTCCCCTCCAACTCATCTAGAAAAACTGTTATCTGTCCATCAAGACACAGCTCTGGCATCAGTGCTGGCCTTTTCTGCCTTCCTCAGGTTGGGCTGCATGTTCCTTCTACGTGTTTTCAGAGCAGCCACACTTGTTGCACTGTGTTGTGACTGACTGTGGTGTTTCCTCACTAGCCTGTGCCTGACTTGAGGGTGGAAACCAGGCCTTCTTCAACTTTGTCTCTCAAGCCCGCACACTGATGAACCTCAAAAAATATTTGCTGAGGAGAATATTTGCTGATGTTCTTCTCTGGGGAGAAAACAATCTGATTAAATATGCACCACGATGTAGGGATGGCTTAACTCTCTGGGGAAAATTGCACCTTAAAAGAGAAGCTAGTTGGTAATTCAAGGAATCTGGAATGGGTAGAATATATGGGGGTGACTGTCCTGTGTCTACATCTGCATGCTGATTTCAATGCCTCTCACCACAACTCCTGCTTCCTAGGCACAAGCAGACTGAGCTTCACAAGCTTGAGAAGGGCCTACAGAAGAAAGAAAAAAAAAGAGAAGGGCCTATAGGGCTGGGGGAGCAGGGAGTGGGAGTCCCTCAGAGGGAACCCAAGAAAGTTCAGGAATGCAGAGCAGTGACCTGAGCCCTCAACATGCCACCCAATGACCTGTTCTCTAGGTTATGCCTTGTCTCATCAGGCTGGGCTTTTATCTCCCCAAATTCTCTGTTCCAGTATACTGATGAATTAGACATTTAATGAGGGAAAGAGCAGTCACTTTCATGGAAAATGTGCTACCCAGGGTCCAGTGCTGTCCACATGGCAGATACTCAACCAGCACTGACTAAATGGGTGAAATGACCAGAGAATTTTCTCCTCTTGCATCTTGGCCCCTTTGTTCTGAGGAACTTGGGCTTTCTTAGTGACTGGCCACTGAGCTGTCCCCAGGGGAAGCTCAGGCTTGGGGAAAACCTCCTCTGTAATCGTCCCCTGTATCCAGCCAAGCTGTATAGTATCCAAGTTGAAACAGTCAGGAGGATCCCCAGAAGACCAGACCTGCTGGGAAACCACACAGGAGGCCCCATGACTACTAGTGCCTGAGCAGGGTGCCCAATGGCCTATTCTGGGTACCTTGGTGCCACTGGAAGGATGTGTTTGGTGAGCCTTCAGCTGCTGAGAGAGGGATTTCCGGAAGTTCTTCTCTTTGATGCCCTGAAGGAGAGAGGGGGGAAGAAAGGGTTCCAGGCCCCACTCCTTCCTAAAAGCAGAAGAAAAGTAAGAAATTAATGAGAATTTTGGCCGGTGTGACTCAACTGGTTGAGCATCATCACATGCACCAGGAGGTTACCTGTTTGATTCCCTGTCAAGGGTACATGTCTGTGTTGAGGGTTTGATCCCTATAGGGGCATGCAGGAGGCAGTCAATTGATGTTGTGCACTCATATTAATGTTTCTCCCTCTCTCTCTCCCTCCCTTTCTAAAAATCAATAAACTATTCTTTAAAAAGAAAAGAAATTAATGACAGAGACAAAGTGAGACAGAGAAAGGAATAAGGTAAGACAGAAACTGACTGAATCTGAGAGGCAGAGATGAAGTAATGAAGCCTGGAAGAAAGATAAAGACAATAGGGGGCAGGAGTATAACATTGGCCACAGTTCCCTAGTAGAAGTTGTAGCTCAAGGACATTATGGTCTAGGTGTGAGGAACTCCAATTCTCACTCCCACCCCAAACTTTCATTCCTGAAAATTAAAGCACAGCTCAAACTTTTCACCTTCTCCCTACACAGCTTTAGAAGGGCCCCATCTCAAAGGGGCCCAGCACAACTCACTCCACATTCTTGAGCGAAATCTTCTGACTAGGTCGAGTGGCTGAGACAGTGATATAGATGTGGAGGGCAGCAAGGCCCAAAAGCATCTCCGGCTTGGGGTCCATTCCAAAGCGTTCTCGGATAACATCGTTTCGACTCTGTGAGAGAAGGCAATTCAAACCTGTTAGTTAAAAGAGACATTGCTTCCTCACCCTCGCATCTACACCCTTCCATCCCAGAAAAATATCCTAGTGTCAGAAAGACTTCCTAGATCAAGGAGAAGAGGAAAATTCTGCTTTTGGGGAAGAAGTAGCAGAGGAACCTTTGTTCTCAGAGACAGTATTCACTTCATTCAGCAGATATTGAACAGTTTTCTTCTCAGTGATGGGTGCACACACTAGTTGATATAAGTAAGCAGAACATCTAGGTCATTGCAAAAGTGAGACTCCCTTTCTTTCCTCCTGCTACAAAAACCCTCCCTGCATTTTCTCAGGGGCCTACACTCAGCCTCCAGCTCAGGTGGGAACAAAGAAGAGAAACACTGGCAAGGGCTCTCTACAGGGCTCTGGCCCAGAAGCCCAGGGTGGGAAATGGATTGCAGAGATAGGGCAGATATTCTGTTTCATGGGGTCTGAAGGTCAAAAGCACTGATGTTGAGTCAGTCTTCCTTATGCTATCCTAAAAGGGGTACCCTAGAGCTACTGGACAAGGGTATGACAATTCCCAAACCCTGAGGGTCAGAGTCAGTCAATGATTCAGCTTTGGTTAGAACAGTTGCCCATTGTGTTGAGGTGGAACCAGGATGAGCTAAGGGACTAAGGACCCATGGTGATATCACTACAGCATAGGAGAAAGTAGAAAATAAATGTTTCATCAATGATCATCTATGTAGGAAGTCCAATGGAATCTACAAAAAAAATCCTACTAGAACTAATGAGTTAGCAGGGTTGCAGGATATAAAATTAACATAAAAAATGAATTACACTTCCACATGCTTGTGACAATCAGAATTCAAATTAAAAATCAAAACTATTTATCAAAGCATCAAAAATCTGAAAAAAACACTAAGTATATATCTGTCAAAATATGTGAAAGACCTGTACACTGAAAACTAGAAAACATTGCTGAGAAAAATTAAAGAAGACATAAATAAATGTAAACATATACTGTATTCATGGGTTTGAAGACTCAATATTGTTAAGATGTCAGTTCTCCCCAAATCTATTTATAGATTCAACACAATCAGAATCATAGCATGTTTTTAGTAGAAATTGACAAGCAAATTGTAAAATTCACATTGAAATGTAAAGGGCCTAGAATGGTCAAAAAAAGCTTGAAAAAGAATAAAGTTGGCGAACAAACACTACCTGATTTTAAGACTTATTATAAAACTATAGTAATCAAAAGAGTGTGATGTTGACATAAAGATAAACAGGTAGATCAATAGAATAGATGAGAGAGTTCAGAAACAGACGCCCCCCACACAAAGAAAACTGATTTCTGACAAAAGTGCAAAGGCAATTCAGTGGAGAAAATATAGTCTTTTCAACAAATAGGGCTGGAAAAACTAAATATCCATATGAAAAATGACCCAAAACTTTGATTAGTACTTTGTACCACATACAAAAGTTAACTCAAAATGAATCACAAACCTAAATGTAAAATCTAAAATGATAAAACTTCTAGAAAGAGATAGGAGAAAATCTTTGTGACCTTGGGTTAGGCAAAGATTTTTACATATGACACCACAAGCACAATTCATAAAAGAACAAACTGATAAATTGGACTTCATCAAAATTCAGACTTTTCCTCTGTGAAAGACATTGTTTAGAGACTGAGAATACAAGCCATAGACTGGAAGAAAATAACTGCAAATAACACATCCAACAAAGAACTTGTATGCAGAATACATAAATAGCTCTCAAAATTTGATAACAAGAAAACAAACAACCTTAATAAAAAAAAAAAAAAAAAAA